ACAGTCACTTATGTTTGGTATGATTGTTTACTTGGTAGGTTATCTTTTCAGCGCTCGACACTCGTGTGAAGAACATTGCTTTTAATTATTCTCTTGAACATGATGCTACAGACGATCTTTTCACTTCGGTTTTTCATTGGTTACATGTTCTTGAAGAGGAAAAAGGGAACATTGCAGATGTTCTTCGCGAAGTTGTGTTATGTATAGGCACCATTCAGTCATCTATTTGTCAGCATATGCATAAAGAAGAGCGTCAGGTATATTTATTCAAATTTCTTTTGTAATGTGATTCAGAAACTAAAACTTTACCACCTTTATCTTAAATATTCTGCGATGTGCAGGTGTTTCCTTTGTTAATTGAGAACTTCTCCTCTCAAGAACAAGCATTGTTAGTGTGGCAATTCATTTGTAGTGTTCCAGTGATGGTGCTGGAAGAAATTTTCCCATGGATGACATCTTTACTCTCTCCAAAAGAGAAATCTGAAGTCGAGAATTGCATGAAACAAGTTGTCCCAAAAGAAGTCTCCTTGCAACTGGTAATACTCTATATATATATATAATGAGATTTGGCTCTATTTTTCTTTCTTCTTTTTGCAATTATTGTAACAAAATTAAATTATTTCTCAAGGTTATGAACTCTTGGTTGATTGACGATAGTCGATCTTCTTTTACGGCTCTTACAAAGATCGTGAAAGGAGTCCAGTCTGTAGAAGTGTCTGAAAATATGAAGAACACATCATCATCTCAGGAAGATTCATCGAGTGGATTGTTTCAACGTTTTTGGCAGTGGAGTAAAATGTCATTTTCTAGTCCAAATACAGGAAACACTCTGGTTCATGGTATTCGGCTTTGGCATAATGCAATAAAAAGAGATTTGGTAGACATACAAAAAGGATTATGCCAATTGAAATTTCCAAGCCTTTCGTTGGACCTCAATCTGCTCGTGGTTCGGCTAAACTTCCTTGCTGATGTCCTTATCTTTTATGGGTAATAATTTTGGGGAACTATGA